GATTTCTTGTTAAGCACATCATTACCACACATCTTCGTCACTGATATCTTGTTTAAATTTATAAATCCAGTCCTTAGTGACAAAAAAAAAGGACTAAATGACGTTTTTCAAAAAAGTATTATAATTTACTGTAATCAATTTCACTTACTTATTTATTTATAATTGAAATACATTTACCATTTTTATCGGTGGATATCAGTATTGTCGAGTACAAAATGAAAAGGTAGTAGTAAAACTAATGGCCATCGAATTGTGTCGGTTCATTTTTCTCCATGAAACTGTAGCTGGAGACATTACCAAGGCTGTAAATCGCGAGCATAACGTGACAGGTGAAACAATGGCCATTGAACAGACCGAGGCCAACAATGGAGTTTTATAAATACAAGTCATTCTCGGGGGAATCTTGAGGCGTGGTGGTAAGTTATTGTAAAGGGAGTTGCCAATACAGCGGCCCTGGAAACTTAAACACGAACGAGCTCTTTTCAGCGGCACGAGCACACATTCATTGTTCTCAAACAACTCATTTAAGTCGTCTTCTTTACCACTTTGTAGGCTGTTTTAACTTTTCACGAATCTTAACGAAAACTACAGGTAGACTTTACACAGTTTAAAATATCTTTTGTCATTCGTTTACATTTTTAATAAAAATTTACCATAATTAACTTTAGGTACCTTAATAACATAATCCAAAATGAAATTTATTGAGGGGTATTTATAGGGGATGTAAATAAAAGAGATGGGGCCGATGAAGTCCGCAAAAGTCGTAAAAAGTTTGGTGGCGGCCGATTTAAATTAGAATCAACGCAACGTAGGGAAGTGAAACTCGCATAAAAATGCTAATGGGTGGCGTCGTCGGCATCGCGGCAGTTTCGCGTAAGCGACGCAAAAAATAATGAGATATAAGGGGAGTTTGAGGTTTCTTTTTAGTCGCGGAGGGGGCGACAAAACCAAACCGGGCACAAAAATTGTCGTGAGGCGCATCTGCGCGTTGGAAACAAAGGCTATTTCCCGAAAATGCAAATTTATGCACGCTTTTTTAAACCAAACAACTTCATTCCGAGCTCGCGGAATGTTCTCCCCAGAGGTAACTTTAAGAATAAATGTAACGGGCCCAAGGAGAACATTAGTCTTAGAATAGTCATCAAGGTTTTAGTTTGTACCATGTATCGTATTACTTTCTTTTAGTAAAATTTTTTCGTATTTGCATTACGATAAAATCATGCTTTGTAATTATAGTAAAACCACGATTTATATGTTTTTAAGTCATACTATTAATATTATCTATAATGATAATCTAACTTGGGATATTCCCCGAGTTGTCTATACGATGTATATATTAAGGACGGTAATTTTAATTGTTATTCAGCGTTAGATTGTTGTATATTTTTATTGAACTAAAAGCAAAATTAATATTATTCATTCAAACAGTTTAAAGTGTAACCCTTCCCCGTATTATTTAGTTTAGTTATATCGAGATTTTACTGTAATATTATTATTATTATTGATATTGGAAGCGCTTCGATAGCGAAGATCTTTAGCACTTACCGTATTTATAATTGATGGAACAAATCAATAGACATAAAAAATTCAACCAAATTAACAGGATTCGCGTATGCATCATCTAGACATGAGATATTATGTAATTGTCTCTCGTTGGCATATAATTCATAGTCTAGCAGGATATTCATTACCGTGGGATGAACTTCGCAGCCCAAACATACAGGTCTTGATTTTCGTTTTAACAAATATCCGGAAGTCAGCTGTGTATGTCTTATATGTAATCTCGCTAGTTTAACCTGTTCTGATCTATTGAAGATAATGGGCTGATTCCAAGGTTTTATTAAGGGTTTGATACGGCGTAGAAAACTTTCATTGTGTTGCCAGTCATTCTGCCACTTGTTATATACTAGAGATTTAAGTTGCCTTATGACATCCTTATGACGACATACACTGACGTCAACACTGTTACCGTCAACCCCGTGTCCTGCTGCTTTATCTGCCCTTTCATTACCCTCAATGCCGATGTGACCTGGTATAAATACGATCTATACAGACTTAACGAGTCTGTAACTATGACAAAGTTATTTGCATTATGACTCATACGGATGAATAACAGAGCCTGGAAGATGGCATACAACTCCGCAAAGAAGATAGACGCAAAACTCTGTAAGCTCCATGAATAATCACTATCCCCAACCACAAACGCGCAACCAACCCCACTCTCCTTTTTGGAACCATCAATATAAATAAAAACAGCACCATCATAGGCATTAATTTTATTTCAATTTGAAAACGGGTTTATTTAATTGCCAAGGAGTAAATTCGATACTGCATAAAGAATGTAAGGGGGGCATCGTAAAGTCTAAAGTTTCTAGCAGTTCTCTGGCCCTTACTACTGCTGGTCTTGTGGCTGTTGATCTGTACACAGGTGGTTGTTGCGAAAACAATATACAGATTGGATGCTCAGATTGTATGCGTTTTTTTATAAAATAATTAAGAATTTGCCAATTTCGTCGATTGTGAAGAGGGGCAATACCAGATTCACAATACAAACTATGAACCGGACTAGTGGGAAAAGCTCCAAGTATGTACCGTATTGCAAGGTTGTGTATTACATTAAGCTTTTTGAGTACGGTTATTCTTGCAGGGGAATACACCATACTACCATAATCAATAATAGATAATATCACACTTTTATACAACATCTCCAGCATTGTAGTATCAGCCCCCACATTGTCCAGATAAAATGCGCAGTAGATTTAATGATTTCCGACAACGCCAAATGATGAATATGGCTCTGCCATCGTAACTTGGCATCGAATATAATCCCCAAGAATTGAGGAACAACACCAATATGGATACTTTGTAAATACAAAGAGGGTCTTTCTTGATGACGATATCGCCTAGAGAACAGAACACACTTTGTTTTTTGCACGGATACCTTATAACCAATCCAGAAAAGAAGTATCTACGACCGATACAAGTGAGCAACAAGTAAATGCGACTATTCGGAGTGTACGGTCCAGGTTTTAATTAAAGAAACAACTTTTTAAAAAGCTAATATTTCGGTGATTTATTGTAACCTTCCTCAGAGCATTTTTTATTGTTGTTTTTTGAAACTAACAATTGTAGAACAACCGAAAAACATCATCATAATTAACGGATCATAAAGGATCACGCGCACTCTTAAGTGTTCTGGCTGGTTTTACGTGTTTTTATTTTTTTTTACAGGTGGTTTTTCTTTTCTGTCATCTTGTCCGGTGTTTGCTTTTTTGTTTTGTGTTGTTCTTTCGCTTGATCCTTTATGATCCGTTAATTATGATGATGTTTTTCGGTTGTTCTACAATTGTTAGTTTCAAAAAACAACAATAAAAAATGCTCTGAGGAAGGTTACAATAAATAACCGAAATATTAGCTTTTTAAAAAGTTGTTTCTTTAATTAAAACCTGGACCGTACACCCCGAATAGTCGCATTTACTTGTTGCTTATAACCAATCGACATGGTGTTTTCTAAAATAGTATTGATGGCAGGCTGAAATGAATTATTAAGTTCTTGTACTGTGGATCCTTTCAAATATATACAAAAGTTATCTACGTATAAAGATCTTCCTATTTCTGGGTTAAGATTGGATATTACACTATTCATAGCAATCAGAAAAAGGGCCACGCTCAAAGTAGAACTCTGAGGAACGCCATTTTCCAACAAATGCTCCGATCAAATCCATTATTCCATGGCGCCATGACATGACATATGCTTGTTCTAAGTCAAAAAGCACCGCTACCAAAACCTGTTTTTGTAGAAAGGCTTCCTGAATAGCATTCTCAAGCAAAACAATACTATAAATTGTGGAGCGACCTTGTCTGTATCCAAATTGGAAGTTAGAAAGTAGGTTTTCCTGTTTTACTATAGATTTTACTGTATATTAATAAGAAAAAAGTCTGTAAAGATAAATTTTTAGAAATAGAAAATTATATTTGAAGAGTTTTAAAGTGAAATTAATTAGATATGCAGGGTTTCCGCATAACTATAAGTTAATCAGACAAACGCTATCAAGCAAAGTTCTTGACAATGCCAGAAGTGCGCTATCGCCTTACATTGCCATCATCCGCAATTACTTTCTTTTTCAATAAACATGAAGTCGAGAGAAGTTGCAAAACTCGATTTGCTTGGTGAATGGCGCCCCTGCAAATAGAATGCGATCCTAACAAAGAAAGGAGAGTAATACTATAGTTTTCAATTTTAGCCCGCGGCTAGAGTTGCAGATTGTAAAGCGGTTCATATAACTATTCAAAACTAATCAAAATTTTCGATATAAACATAAGAGGCGGTTGGTTGATTGTGTAAATTTATTGTAAATTAACGAAGTTTAACGTCATTGCAAGCGTTTTAAATTAATCTGTGAATTTTGTCGAACATATTAAGTTTTCGACAGGAATTTCGAACATTTCAACATTAACGTATCGCGTAAATTACAATCGTAGGCCATGCGCGTATGGTAATTTAAAATATAATAAATAATTCGGTAAAATTAATAAATAAACGCGTTATTTATTTTTAAACTCGATATTAAACTGCAGTTGCGGGTAAAACATTAATTTCAGATTTAACGTTTGTTTATTATTTATTGAATAAACGCGTTATCGATTTTAGTTGTCAATGTATATATATTAAACTATTGTGATGTTTTATTTTATAAGTTAAAAAACCAATTAAATCGTTAGCACGAAAGTATCGATTTCACTTAACTTGTTATTAAATAAATTTGGATTTCTTTGTGAAATCTGAAACAACGTAACAAATATATAGGAATTCACTGAATTCTATCGATAGTATTCGTTGGCGTTTAGCCAATTTGCCGTGTTCACACGTTGTGAATAGTTTATTATCACGTAGGGAATAAAAAGCTCTATCGAACAGGGAATTGGTTTTAAACTACAACCGTTCGTATTTCGATTTAACTGTTTTTCTAAGTACATGACTGTTTTAAAATCGATTATGTTTAATCGGTTTAAAGGTGATAAAACATTTTATTTCAATTAATAATAACATTTCATTGTAACTACGTTAACAAAGATTTTCACAGCCTGAGCTTCCAGTTTCATACGGATTTTGTCCCACCCAGTTACCACTAACAAAAAATAATGGTGATTAAGATTTATGTTTAGTTATAATACAATAAACTTACGCAGGTCCATAATTACAAGCATAAAGCTTCTGGTAGGGATATTTGGCATTTGTTTCTTCGTCATAAAAATAGCAGTAACCACATCCCACAAGGTAAGTGTCAGCCCATACAACCTGTATTAATATTAAAAAATATTTATTTTATACTTATTTTACTTTAATATTATAATTACTTGAGTGTAATGTCCGGTTACGCCATTTTGAGTTGCTGCACCATACACGAAATTTTCGTGTTCCTTCCACCATGATTCTATACCTTTTGCCCAATTTGATCCTGCACCCGCTGCAGTAGACATGTGCATGTATAAATTTTGTCCAACAGCAGGGAAACGATCTTAAAATTCATAAAATTTTTAATAAATCATAAATAAAAATAGATAAATCTATCCCATAATAAGCAACTTCGGTAACTTTTTGCGAAATCGAGAAATCGGACACTTATTTTAGGATAGAGGGGGTAACTTCTTTACCATCATCGACAATAAGGTGTTCGAATTTTCCAGTTGCAGCTACTTTTTGTGCTTCAACCGCTAATTTTTCATCCCAAGCCTATAAAGAAAAACAACGTTATATCTTATAAAAACAAATCCAATAAAAATAAACAATGTAAAGAAAAAACAATATAAAGTGCCCAAAGCGTAGAAACAATGGAAAAGTTTACTTTAAACAAAAAATATTAAATATTAACCCAAAAATATAATAAACAATTCATAATCCATCATGGATTAGTTCCAACTTAAAGAATATGGAATCGATGTTTCATATTTTATACATTTATATATTTACAAAAATAAAACATACAAAAGCAACCAGAAATCAATATAGTCATATCAATAATATTAACGTATTTTATAATGAAAATAATTGTAATTAAAAGAGAGTGGAGGAAGGAAAAGGAAACAACACAAAGAAAAAATTAGTTAATTAAATGTGTATTCGATGTAGTTAGTTAAAGATAGTACTGGCATCAACTTCATTACCAGGTGAATATATCGATCAGCCTTAAGGCAAAACTGTAACTCTGAGAGTTTCCAGATCTGTTGACAACGAAAACTTCTACATACTTTGTCTTACTGCACCTCAAAGTTCGGAAATGCCGAAGGGCTACATGAATAATTCTGGATGGAAAATAAAGGATAGCTCTCAAAATGTTAATACGTTTTAAACACGATATTAATAAATAATGTAGGTACAGATTTTTTTATTTACCATGCGTTTTAAATTGATACCTCTAGGCTGACCTTCAAGTTCACCACGAGGAAATTTGAAGACGATAGTTGTTATGTTCATTAATAATAATGTCTTGTTCCGACGTTGCAACCCCACACTCTGCGAAAAAGTAGTATTTTTGAAATAATGATGATATTGTTTAATATAACGTACCGTAAAATATTGGTTCTGAGGTGGCTAACCCCAAAACAATACACGTAAGTAAAATAGAAATCATGATTTACGATTAACTGACTTCAATCCCAAACGTAGCCGCATTATATACCAGCTAAAGGTGTTAGTTTTACAATATAATAATCTCTAGTAAACACTTGACAATGAAAAAATATTTGGTAAATACTAGACCTAGATATCTAAAATAAATAAGCAAAGCAGAAAAAAACGTATTCTGTTGGGATAAGGGTGAAATTTTGATATTAATTTGTTAATATTTTGATTCATACTTGAAATATCGATAATCTTTTAGAAATATGTTATTAGCTTCAGAAAGTATTAATAAAAGTACTAAATGTTTGCATGTAATTTTATGTGTCCCTGTCTTTATGGTTACATGAAATAAATAAACAAAATTAAGCAATACACAGAATCTGTGTATTGCTTATCTGTGTCACAGATTAAGCACTTTACTTAAAAAGATTAAATTATGATGAAAGTATAATCCTTAATACAGATAAGCATCTAAAATTTTCCATTCAAAATGATTATCAAATTGAAACACATTCTGACAATTTCAATGGTCAGTAAATGGGTACTATCGATAGCGAAGCATCATCTATCGTTGTTAACAATCAATTTTGCTGACATTACGAGTTTGTTAATCATCAGTGACATTACGCCAACTCCCATTGGGAAGGGCAATAGTAGTATTCATCATCTGGAAATTTCAGCCAGTTACAACGATCTAACTGTAAATCATAGTTAAACTGAGACTTTTTTTATTGAGTATCTTTAGTTAATTCGTAAATTGGCATGATTCTTAAAATATTGGACTATTCGAAATATCTTGAGATGAGCTTTATCTATGAAACAAAATTTTTAATATATTAAACAATTCCACTATAAATTTAGAATAATGATGTACAATTTTTTTACATAGTTCTTACATCTTATTGCGATTTAACGTCAAATTTTGGTAAATCCTTAAATATGACCCGGATGGAAAAGCCCAGATGCATTGGGCTATTTTATGTGGAAGGTATGTTATTATTAGTTATTAGAGGCTCTCATTTTGTGATTCAAAATAAATATTCGCAACGGCTTTTTTGATGTGTAAAACTGTCTGAGCATGGTACTTTTTGAAATTATTAACTAAGTTTAACGAAGACGTGTATCGATTAATACATCAATAGATGACTCTAAAATCTAATATTTTCCCGTTATTTTATCGAAATATAAAAATGCATGTCTCGTTTATTGCAATCTTCTTTTGAAGGTATAGTACACAATATATTTTATGATGTTCTGACTACTTGGGATTCTTAAACAATTTTTTTTAATAAAGTCAGCGTAATTTTGAATATCTGTTAGGATTTGCATAACATCGAGGCTACTAAAGAATAGCTTCAAATCGCAACTGATGGTCAGCGCTTCATATTACAAACACCAACTCACAAATGCATCGAACAGTATGGAATTTCTGCACCAGAGAAATAATATTAAGTCATAAACATATAAAATTTATTATATAGAACCGCTTTTTCTAAATCAGGTAATGGAATCAGATCTTGTAATTGTAGTTCATAAGATACATTACAAATTCTTGCACATTTTGACACAATAGAGCCTACGGTATCTTCAAATGTTATGAATTTATATAAAATATGCAATAAAAATTAAATCAGATTATGTCCAAAGGTTAATGGCAGTAAATAATTGACTACAATATCGTGTCTGTTCAGATCTATTAAGGGTACGTAGATACGCACATATTCATAATGGATTCAAACATAATAGAATTATAAAGAAAGGAAAATAATTATGACTTAAAATGGTTTATTATTTTTTAGGAGTAATTTAACAAAGATTTTCACATCCAGATTCGCCAGTTTCGTATGGGTTTTCTCCAACCCAATTTCCACTAAAACACCAAAGATAAGTGATTTAAATTTTAGTTATAATAATTACTTACGCAGGCCCATAATTGCACACATAGAGTTTCTTGTATGGATATGCCGGCATTATATTAGCGGTGACGTTATCGTAAAACCTAACATAACCACAACCTACAAGATTTGTGTCTGCCCATACAACCTAAAAACGAGATCATGATCAATATTTGATTTGTCATACTAAGAAAATAGTTTTTACTTGTGTGTAATGACCAGTAACACCTGCTTGGGTCTGTGCGCCATAAACGAAATCTTTATGTTCATCAAACCATGCTTTGATGCCACCTGACCAATTTATAGTTGCACTGTTTCCAGTTGACATAGAGATGTACAAGTTTTGTCCAACATAACCATAAGGGAATCGGTCTAAAATTGATTTTTAAATATTTAACAGATTATTAAAAAATGTGTATTGCTGTTACCATCTGGCGCGATTAGATGTTCAAATTTACCAAGGTCTGCAACCTTTTGGGCTTCAACTGCTAATGTGTCATCCCAGGACTAAAAAAATAAATTAATTAAAAGAATTGAATTAATTTGCAATAAATAAAACCATTGAACATTATTACCATTCGTTTCAAGTTGGTTCCTCTTGGCTGACCGGCAACTTTTCCATTTGCAATTTGTAGTCGATAGTTATTGTGAGCTTCGACAATCGTCTCCTGTTCCGTAACTGAGACTCCAGAGTCTATAAATATAGGATATTCGTGCTGATATAGGTAGTATTAAATTTAATTAGAAAACTAAAACTTACCGTATACCTCAAAAGAATTTATTCCGAGGGCTAATGAAATAAGTACAGCAAAAATAAACATTTTTATGTCAGAGTGGTAACTCAAGTGACTTAGTTTGCTTTCCGGTTACTTATATACTCAATTTTAGGAACACATTAAAATACAAAGAATTCTCTAGCTGATAACAAGAAAGTTATATATCACTAAGTGCATTTTGTAATTTTTCAAATGTCAGAACAAGGTTAGTAGATGTTAAAAAATGATGTTTTTATCGTTAGCAATCCAAAGATTTACAGATGAAACTTTATTTCAATAAGAATTAAACACAATTGATTGGACAATACTGAAATTTATCTTCGAATCTGTATTGATAAACGATCCGATTGTCGTGGAGGTTGCCTTCACACCGTCTTGTATATAGCTATCCATTACAGCGTTTATCATACTTTCGTTGTTGTATGAAACACATCCTCCATGCTCGTCCACCAACTAAATCATTGCAACTAATATCAAATCTGAATTGTTATCAATACAGTCACAAAACTTTAGAACGCTAACCCGTACAGTTAATAGCACACCTGAGGCATGTGATTCCTGGCAAAATCGTTTTTGGTAAGAATTTGGTTCAAATATGCCTTGTTTTAAGTTATCCATATTAAGTTCAAAAAATTATTGACTAACACAATTGAAGTAATTAAGCTAAGTAATTATTAATTATAATCCCCAGCTTTCACAAACTGTGTCATAAGCTCAATGTAGAGTGGAAGACCAATTTTTTGTTGACTTATTAATGGTTTACCATATTTAAATCTACAAACAAAACTTTTTATTAATATTTGTATCCATGTTGCAAATTAATTAAGAATAAAACGACAAAAACTTCTTCTTTGTGTCGTTTTGTTAAAACTTTTTATGTTAGGAACATCGCTCACTCTATACTTCATGCGGGTTGACACTCGAAGTTCGCTATTCCAGTCTCTCTTCTACCTCTTCTTCATTACTAAGCTTTCATCGCAGTTTATCTTATACTAAAACGACAAAAAACAGCATACAACATTTTCTATTCGACATCTGACTAAAACAGAGCGTTTGTAACAACAGAAGGTCTATTGCGAGCGTTTGAAGTACGAAATAAAACAAAATTCAGAAAACGACGATTTTTAGACTTAAAACTTCATGACGTTAAAGCTAAACAATTTAACATGTTAATGGATGAAACCGAATAAAATTGCATAACGTACTATTTCGATATGCAGTAGAATTTACTCAAATTGGTTATCCAAAAAAAACAAATTCTATTTTACTGTTTGTGTGTTATCGATATTGCTACAAAGATGCATGTTTTCATTAAAAAATAAATGTGATGTTATCATAATTTATCATGTGAGGAGCCATTCGTATTAAAAAATGTTGTTTTTTAACGATAACAACATATTTGTGACGTTAACATAGCGTTAATTTATTTACCGTTTGACCATTTTTACAATATTAAGAAAGTTTATTGTAAGTGCTTGGTAATATTCCGTTGGAAATGTATAAAGTTATATCAATTTAATTCTTACTTGCAGTAATCAATCATACCATATCAAACATAATTCAGGTGATTTTTATTTAATAATCTCTGATTTGACCTAAATATCATGCTTCCTATTAAGTATATTGGTTGTATTAATTGGGCGACCGTTAACTAACACGCTGCATATTCTGGTTGACATCTCTCGGTTGAATCTGGCGGCGATAATTTCAGTAACAGACGTCCCTGATTGAATAATCGATAACAATGTCAGTTACTGGTAATTGTTCGTTTAAAAGTTTTGGATAGGTGATTTGGGAATAAGAGCTACATTTTTAAAGTCTAAATGTAATACGCAGTAAATCCTTTTTTAATGTTCACGTGCTTTTAATTACTTCGACATGAGCTGCTCTTTATTAATAATAAATTGTAATGGCTTTATATAATCTAATCTCTATTTCATCAGTTTTGTCGTGCTTAAGGTAAAATGGGTTTTAGTAATTTTCCCTTCACTTTACATATATTCTATTTAAAAATAAATGAAATAAAAAACATCTTGTTCCACTAATCAAATTACTGTTTTCAGTTTGTATGCCAAATACTCCCGGGAAAATTAAAAATATTTGCTTACGCAAATTGAATTGAGTGTGGCCGGTGAAATCATCGTTGTAAGAACAAATTCACGCAGAGAACTAACGGTGTGTTTGGCTGTAAAAAATATAAATAAATATCGAGCTGAAACAGATACGACTCATGTCGCAAATGGAGGCAAATGGAATGCGTTGGCGTATTAAAAATTAATATAAATGTTAAGTATTTATGAAAGCCGTTTTTTTAACGTGCACTTTAGCCTCGAGCACTAGGGCATATAACGGAACAACTTCGTTCCCCGCTGACTCAATTAACCTCTTAGCAATTAGCACTCAAAGCAAAACATAGTCGAGCGGAGTGTTTACTCCATCAGCTGCAACAACTGCGACGCCCGACGTCGGCGTTGTGGGACAGCAGACAGACAATTTAACAAACGTATTTCACAGTATAAGACACACTCATGGTAAATTATGTGGCCGGTGGCGTACAACTGCTAGAGAGAATACACTCTCTGCCGGCCATTGGAATAACATGTCCGTTAAAGCTACATCAAAGCCGTTGTCCGACCACATACACAGATATGCAGTTGTTAATCTAAACCACAAGACATAGAATAAATAATACATTGATTGGTATAGATATATGGTAATATTATTAAAAGAAAAGTAGTCTGTACGAGACGATACTAATTTTTACTGTCTCGTACAGACTACGCCGCACATATTTTATAAACTAAAAGAATTCAATAGAAATTTTTAATAGATTAAAATTATTAAAAGGTATTAGTGCTGAACTTAAGAAACATCAGGAATAATGTTTTGCGATATCAAGGATGATGTTGATAGATAATGACGAAAATGTTAGACTAGAAGAGAACATTGTGAAAAGATGTCATAGACGATATTGAGGGAGTGACCATGTTGAAAGCCAATAATGGTAATGTTAATAGATGATATGGAAGATGTTGCGGAAGGCCGTGACTGTGCTGAAAGATGATTAGGGCTTTATTGATGAATGCCGTACACAATTTTGAGTAATGTTAAAAATACAGGATTTATTTTTGTTTAGTAATGTTAATAGATGATTGGGAGGATGTTCAGAGCTATCAGAAATGATATAAATGGATTCCGTACACAATGTTAAGGAAGACCAGCGATGGTATTGGAGGCTATTAAGGACGGTGCTAAAAGATATCTGATATACCTAATGTTAATAGATGATGGGAAAAGAGACTCAGGGATGTCGTAGATTGCGTCGGCGTAGGTTAGGGACTATATATAAGATATTATTGATGTTGAAAGCCATAGTAAGGAAGTTTAAAACATTGTTGAGGGATGTCAGGGATGATATCTCGGGACGATGTTTTAAGATATTAGTGGTAATGTTAATAGTTAACGGGGCAAATGTGGAAACACACCAGGATATAGTTGAGGATGTTTGGCCTAATATACAGGGATACTGAAAACGATGTTGATGAAGACCAGCGATGTTATTAAAGGATATTAAGAACGATGTTGAATGATATTGGAGATAATGTTAATAGATTATAGAGAAAATAGTTAGGGATGTTGTTGGACATCAAAGATGATGATAATGTGATATTCAAGTACATCAGAGACAGTGTTGATTGGAAAAATGTTGAGGGATACCATAATAATATTGACAGATATCGGGGACAATATAGTGGCGATTTCAGGAATGATGTTGAAAGGGTTTTGGTGTTCAGTCGCTATATGAACATTTGTAACTTATGTAAGATTCTGTATAAATATGAAGTTACAACCTTTACAAGTTATTTTGAGATGTTTTTGGAGGTATGTCACAAAAAGTGTGTCATTAGCCTTCTACAATATTGTTCCTCTATCACACACAGAAACTATTAAAATACTAAGTTGTGATATATCCATGTTCGTAGTCCAGAGGAGAAGTTAAGAATATGTTTAAATATGCCATGAACATTGTAGATGGGTGTCTTAAATGATGATGAGAAAGGCTAATAACGATGTTTAATGATATCAAGGACGATTTTGAAAGCTATCATTAATGATGCTAAAAGATGGTGAGATTTGTGTTGTAAGAATTTGGTCTTTGGTCTCTCTGTAATTAATTACGCTTAAAATAGGCCTGCAACATTCATAGAGATAGATCAAAAATTCCAACAGACTCTACCTTTACACATTGATTGGTATCCAGCGAATCCAGGACCACTACATTGATAACGGATAATGTTATCAGAGTATGTTGCAAGGAGGAAAGTAAATCTGTGCCGTTGGAAGTAACGTTTCTCTTAGATTTTTCATATAACTATGTATGATTGCACAACATCCTTTTTCAGGGGTCATGCCATATCTCTTGGTTACTCTGAGCAATTCCAGCTTCAAAATTTTGTGGGTGAAGTAGTAAATATTATTTGTATGAAGTGTGACAAAACTTTCATATAAAAATGTTGTTAGTCCTCAGTGCTATATAGAAATATGAAAAACTGATCGTGGGTTAAGTTAATTTAAGAAACTATTTTTTTTAATCTAAAAACTGAAACACCTGACCAGATCGCTTTATTTGGAGTTCCTATTATCACGACGCAACTAATCGCCAATGTTTTACCCAAATACATCGCGGCTTTGGTAATAAAACAACCAACAGAAGAATACTAGGTTAATTTTGAAAAGCACTACGTTTTTAACTCGGTTTCCTATCAGTTTAAAATATTTTATTTGAATCTACATTCTTTTAAAACTAATTTTATTTATTCACTCAATAACGTGAAACATTTTTCATCCTGTTTTCTATAGATATTTCGTATTTGACATTGGAATGTAAATTTTATTTAATACAATATCTGAAAATATTGTAATTCAATATCGATTTTCTATTAGCCAACTTTTTTTACAGCCAGTTTTTGCTAAATTTATTCTTTTTACTCCGATTTATAAAAATTTAATGATTTCAATTTGAATATCCAACCTTTTTTTTTATTTAAACCGGCCGCATATTATTTTTTTACTAAAAGGATTTTGACCTATTCATATTCCTCTTTCATTTAACATGTAAAAATTCCTCCAGCGTACCCGGAATTAAAAGCGACTATTAGTCATTCCTCTCTCTAGCCACTATAAAAAATTATAAAAAAAAGTAAATAAACTTTATTCGGTTTTCGTTATCAATGAATTTTGACGGAAACCGAAGAAAAGGTTTAATCTTAATTAAAAATAGACTGGGGAGTTTCATTTTGTTTGCTTTAATTTGCAAATGCTACTTTCCCGATAACTGCTCGGAAATAACCAAGAATGTTCTGGTTAATTCTCAATCAACTCGTTGAGAGTGAATTAAAAAACATTCTGTATACTAATAAGATAATGTTGCTTTTCGTAATAAAATGTGATTGAAAAAGTTTTGTATCTTTCAGGCCCTCCATTTATTCTTTATTCATTGAGTTTATAATTGATTTAATATCTGTTGTGCTTTATTACTAATTAGTTGCTATATTCACTAAAAAAAATTATTAACAATGTTTTTCCCATAAATTTCCCTCGTAATTGTGTTCACAGAGAATTTCAAAAGCTGTACTATTACTTATCATCCTGCCTGCAGTGGCAACGAACTATATAATCCCAAACGGCCGCTTCTTGAATAATAAAGACCCTTCACCAGTTCCCTCCAGCTTTGTCTCGTGTAAGTATAAACTAGGTGAGCATGTACTTGGTTAATACGTTTCTATTAAAGATTTGACTACAATAGAACCTTGCAATTTGAATGTAGTTAGTTTCTTATTTGACCTTCTAACGACTAATTCGTTCTTTACAATAAGGCACTTCTGGTATTAATTTTTTTATTGTTGTATATTAACAAAATATCTTATATAATTACCACACAAACATTAAAAAATATTCATTAGTGTTTATTATTGGAAATCTTCAATGTCTGAGCCTCTTGGATTTGATTTGATGATGTATCGAACTAAATTCGGTCCCATTGTTTCTTTCGGTGGAATAAATCTCAATAAATTGTTACCCAAATGTAACATTTTAAGATTACTTAAATGTTTAAAAGCTTTGGGATTTATTGAAACCAATTCGTTACTATCCAAAAATAATTCTCTAAGCATCGGTAAACCAGTAAAAGTCATTACAGGAATATTCTTAATATAATTTTTACTGAGGTACAATGTAGTAAGGGATTGAGACATTAAAAACGGTCTCTTTTTTGGAAGAAGTAATTTGTTGTTGGATAATAATAACACAACAAATTTGGGGTTGTGTTTGAACATTAACGGATGTATACGTTGTATGCTGTTGTTGGTAACATCCAATACTTCTAATTTGGGTAACGACGATACAACTTTTCTCGGGATACGTTTCAGCATCATACTATCCGCGAATATTGTTGTGACGTTTTTCATTTTTTTGATATAAGTAAACCATGATGTGTTGCCCATATTACGCATGTCAACACAACGGATGTTATGGCGATCGATGGGCCATACAGGACGTGTTGGATTCAATAAAGCCGTGTTTCTATCACTGCATGGTTCGCCTTCGATAAATCCGCTTTGAACAGTATGATGAAGTATTCTGAAACAAGTGCAATGATTGTAATTTTAATTAAATCCGTCCCCGAACATGAGATGGTATTTAAAATGTTTGATTAAATCAAGTTTAATTGCATAGGTCTATAAAGTGATTTTGGATTAAAAAGAGACACATAAAAGTGAATCATAAAAGTATTATTGCTTCTAATGACATCATTAATTACGCACCGGGCTTCCGTACCAAGGGTGGATTTCAAAGACTAATTACTAAGCTCATTAAACGACCTTGCCATTTGAAAAGCCTTCAATCGATTTAATGAAAACAGGCAATATGAAGCACACCAACGGCATTTCAAGTATTTCAATATACTCTACGTCAAGAGAACAAATAGGTTGCGTCGATCGATGACGTGCCAGAGTTTTAATTTTTTGTGTTATTTGCCGTCGCATCGATGCATGTTAACTATTCAAGATTCGTAAATTAAACTCCAGAGATTTTCATTTCTTTCATATCACGTTCGAAACCGTCACATTTTTCAATTTGTACCCATCTTCCATCTGCGTGGATATAGGAATTAATTCAGCGGATGTTATAATTCTATTAGGAACTAGACTTCGTAGAGACTTCATATTACTTCTTTTCGTTCTATTTTTCAGGACCTATTTCTGTACATTAAATTACACTCAACTCGTTAAAACAAAATTACTTTATGAATTTTAGAAGAGTTCTATTACTGTCATTATTTATTTTATTTTTCAAGATTTTTTTCTCTTTAATGATCAATTTCATATATTATTTAAATTCTTTTATTTATATTTCATGATATTGTCATTACTAACAAGCTAATGTACTTACAGGAAAAAAGGTAAGAATAAAACAACACGAACCAACATTTTTTCGATGAGGCGATGGTATAACACTGGCGCGAAGGTGGGTTAGTGGTAGCAAGTTTAATGGAAACGATGGATAATTTTAGAAATTATTTTCACTGAAAATCTAAAAATAAAACTATTCGCGTTTCGCCTCTTGGGAAAATCTTGACTCACTGAAAGGTAAATAATCGTGTGCTTCTTCTCTCTTTATTCCCCTTGCAATTTCTGTTGACGTACGGGTAAACACAGGAAATTCGATAACGACGCAGTTCGCGTACTCCTCCGTTTTCCGTATCAATTATGGAGGAGCGGTTTGTTTTCTTAATTTTCACAAGCGATTATCAACTAAATTGATATCAACGTCGCAGAATAACGATTATATAAATAAACTTATAGCCGGAAGTATAATAATGTAACATTATCGGAATCGTTTTTTTATTCCAGATAAAAATGATAATATAAAAATGACTTCAGTCAAAACCAGGATATTCAATTAAAGCTAATTTTAAATGTATACAAGTGAATTCTAGTTTTAACCGGTTTATTTCAATTAATTCTAACTTAATTTTAGATATAATTAGTTCAAAATAATAAATAATTTTATTTGTTTCTACCGTAATAATTACCTTCTTCATTAAAAATTCAATTACACATTTTAAAGCTTGACATGATACTTATGCTGACTAAATTTGTGGCGAAGCAATTAGATCTTACAATTAGTAAAGACGTCGTGTTACATATTAGTAAATCTTGTACCTCTGATTTGACCTAAATTTTTATTACACCATCTGTTAGTGCTATTTAACCTTTCAGTAGTGGCGTGTATCGGACGAAAGAGTGGCGTCGGTCTCACAGACCGTCTGTTACTTTTCATATTAAATTCATAATATGACACACAAAGTACACTTACGAAGTATGGTATACCTTTATAATGTATGCAAAATTTCTAAGCAATGTAGGTTATAAAAAAAGTAAGTTTTATTTTTAAGTATTAACAAAATAAAAGTAACTCACAAAAGTGTTATCCATTGAGTAATAGTACTCATCACATGCTATTTCTGAACGATCCAAACATTACGCTTTTTTTTGGAATCGCATATTATACAAACAATATTGCCATTTGCTGTAAGTTTTGAAGTATCTTGATGTGCTACATTATATATGCGTATATTATGGTTTGGAATATTATGGACCATGGCTTACTTAATCTTGATATCATTGTGAATTGGTTAGTTTCTGCATGCGATATCATATCAATGTGGCGCTCGGGCTGCGAGCAACCTCGGCTTAATTAATCTTTATATCGTTGTGAATTGGTTCGTTTTTCCAACCATATGGTTCAACATAGCGCCTCGGCCACAAGCGAGCTCAGCTTATTTAACCTTGATATCATTGTGAATTGGTTAGTTTCTCCATCGATATGTTTCAATATAGCGCCTCGGCCGCAAGCGATCTCGACTTTTTTAATCTTGATAGCGTTACGAACTGGTTACATTTTTTTATTAACAATATCGCGGCTCGGCCGCAAGCGACCTCAGCTTTATTACTCTTGATGTCGTTGAAAGTTGGTAGCATTTATATCGATATGACATTTATGTAGCGCCTCGGCCGCAAGCTTATTTGATCTTGCTTTCGTTGTGAATTGTTAGTTCCTGCATGCGATATGGTATCATGTGGCGTTTCAGTTGCGAGCAACAATGATCTTTATATTATTGTGAATTGGTTAGTTTTTACTACGATATGGTTCAATATAGTTCAATATAGTCTTGATATCGTTACGAACTTGTTAGTTCTTTTATGCGATATAGTATCAATATCGTACTTCGGCTTTATTACTCTTGATGTCGTTGAAAGCTGGTAGGCATTTATACATGGCATTTATGTAGCAGGTGAAACCAGAAAATTTTTAGCTTGTAAACCTCATCGATTTCGGCTTTAGTCTTTCGTATAGCTTATGGTAAACGTTAACATATTCATAGCTGAAAATATGTTGTACTATTCCAAATGCCAACAGGAATACCACGAGGAAATGAACAAACAGAGCGAGTTATGAAATTTGTAGTTAACAGCGTCCGAAGTGTGTTATGGGATAATGAAAACAAATCTGCGTCAGTATTGCCAAATCATCAAAATTTTACGCTCCCGTTATCCCAAATCGTAATTTATGTTCAACTCGAATCATCTACAGTGATTATTGTGATTACAAAACAATCAGAGTTCAAAACGATGGTGGTGAAATTAATAAATGGTAGTGAATAAAGAAGAATTTAAATCATTTCAAATAATATCTCTCATCAAGTGTAGGTTAAGGAATGAATTAACAAGATTTTGTGAGCACTGCAACTGCTTTTATTAAAGTTGCTAAGGCATTTAACTCAGTTTGATCATAAGGACTTATTAGCGAATATCTTCTGGTAATCCTTTACTCCTTCTTGGAGAAAATTTAACTTAACGATAACAAAAGCATTGTAAGCATACATGAAATTATTTTACAAAAATATTTTTCATCTAAAACAAGTAGAATTTTTAAATTAATCTACACCATAATTTATCGAGAAGTTTTAATATTTTCCTATGTTAGTTTCATGTGTCGATTTCGTTTAGTTTTACGTTTTGTACTATACATTTCCATTGCTACTGAAGCAATTCCCGGGGCGCATAACTGTAGCGTGAAAAAGTTTGTTATCTGGTAACGGCTCCAGGAAATTCTATTTCAAATTCCTGAGAACGTAGTCCAATTGATCGAAAATAACTTCTTCTTTTTATGTATACAGTGAATAGTTTTCTTTTTGTTTTTTTTGTAAACATTTCTTTTTATGTAAATAAATTGATAGATTCGATTTTTTGGGAAAACGAATTTAAAATAAAACATAAAATTCTTTAATTCATTATTTTTATCATATTTATATTCTTATTCAATCTTAAATGATATTAGTAATTGCAATAGTTTTAAATGCGATTTAAATCACATTCCATAAAACATGAATAAAAAGGTTTGAAATTTTTGTTCAACTTCAAATCGAGTGCAGTTCCCTGCGGGTTCTTGTTCCTCCACTCACTTATCTCTGGCAATTTCAACAATCGGCACCACCGCTCCTCACTCGAACAAAGGAACACAAAGTACGTCAATTTGAACGGCAAGATCTGAATAGGGGTGGAGAGTAAAAGGAGAGTAGCACCTCTATAAGACGCCGAGATATGCATTATTCGTAATATGTCCTTTTATTTGGACATCTTTTTCGTAAAAGTGCTCCAAGTCGATACACGAGAAACGCGTTTACGTGCTTTCGTGGTTGACACTATGGAAGAGGAATCGCCATTTTAAAAGTGTTCACTGCCCTTTTATGTTTTAATCTCGGCGCGCGATTTTTCCAGCTCCACGCATTTTTTGCTCATGATGTCGGGTAGTATATTTCACACGCCCTTCAGACGTCGGCAGTTTATCTTCCGCAAACGGCCCGATTTCCTCGAAGGAACTGTTACTATGAAATAGGGCTGAAGTGGATGAAAATAACCCCAATTGCCCGTGCCTGTTATGATCGTGCATATATACCAGCTTCTCAGTGGAATTGTCCGTCGAATAAATCACCGGATTAAAATGGAGCGTAAACAAAAAAAGTAACAGTTAAATTTATTGAACTATGAATGACAACAATCATAAAAATAACGAAAATTTTACATTTATATTGGAAAATTTCCAACGATTAATTTTTATCCTGCGTGCTATAAATAGCACAGCAACTATAAATTGTGTTTGAAGAATAAGCATTATGTATTTAGGAAAATTAAATAAATTTCAGTATAAGGTGAACGTAAGGGAAAGAAAAGGATGGGTTCTTGGGTTTACCTTCTTCACCGGAATCGGCACAATTAATGGTAAACAACAAACGGCTCTCTCCGATAAATTTGTTACGAGATTAGGTGAGCCACAAGGATCGATAGTAAGGCCCATCGTTCGCTCTTGATTAATTGTTTAGAGTAGAAAATCGAAATATCCCCACCTCTCCAATCAACTCAATCGTATATCTTCAATTAAAAATAAATAGAACGCTATACATAACAAATCACGTCACTTTTTCTTTCACGTCATAAATATCAAAAAATTTAATCTGTTTTATTTATGGGCGGGTGGTGGACATTATTGATACTGAGCTAGGTTGATCCCATCAAATTTAATCTTTACGTCCAACTATTCAAAACTGTAAACGTTTTTCGTAGTTAAAGCGTACGCGTTGCATTAAATTCAGTTGGAAAATTAATTTAAATCGCTTAATTCCTATTTATACGTCGGATGGCGTTTTATTCTGGGGTTCCCGATATTACGGGCTAATGGAACGGGGTTCTGCCCGTCCGTAGAACCTGGAAGGGTTCGGGCATTCTCTCTGGTATGAAATATTCATTTCTCAATCCCCTTAAATTCCATCACATCAACCCTTAATACGGCGGCAGCGTTGGAGGCGGTTTGGTCGGTTGAGGTCGGGTTCTGGTGACTGTGGCCTCCTTCTGCATTGTCGTTGCATCCGGCAAGACCGCCCCTCAATTACAATCCGCTATTTATTATTAAGTCAAACAATCATTCTCCGGACGTCTCAGAATACAACCGAGCTCTGACATTTGTCTCATTACACATATTATTCCTATCTATAGATGCTATTTCTCTTCGAGGCGGTGTGTACACCCGAAGGACGTATTGATCGGATATACGTGACTGTATTTCGATATTCCAATGAACGGCATAGTTTTTACGCCATCTGCCATCTGTAAGAACACCCACAGAATATTGAGTTATTATGCCTAGACCACCACGAGACGATGGACTACATTACTGTCATTTCTGTTTCAGTTACCACTCCTTAGAAAGGTTAACTTTCCGAGCATTTTGTTATATTTTTCGATAAAACTGAATAAACCAAATAATTGATTTGACTTGAAAAAAGGATATAATTATTAATCTGTTGGCTTTTCAACCTTTCGTCTGGTTTCTTATATAAAGATTAATTTATTTATGGGAGAAAAAAGAAATTTATTACGGGTGCTATAAAAAGAGAAATCCCACTTCAAATGCAGTTCAAATAACAACATTAGGTAAATGGGTAACTTGTAGTACTATAAAAAGAGTGCCCCATAAAAATCGTTTACATGGAACAACACCACACAAAAAGCCCTACATATCAAATTAAAAACTACTTAAATAGTGCGTTTTGGAAACTCAATTATGGAGCTATATGGCGGTACCACAGCTTTTAAAAAATAACTCATTA